ATGCCGAACGCGAGCGCTTCATCTGCGACATTGAAGCTGAGGCGCGGGCGCTGCACGTGTCGGGCGAAGTAGCCCGCTGGCATGTAGGGGCCGATGCAGGCGTGCGCAAGTTGGCGACTGGCGTCAACGGCCCTTTAATAGAGGCGCTCGCCGCTCGCACCGATTTCCAGGACGCCGCGTGCATAGGATTCTTTCGCCGCGGCGCGCCAGCGGTGGGCCCGCTCCCAGTCTCGGGAAGCGGCGTGCCCGTGCAGCGTCCCGACGCGCAGCCGGTCTCAACCGTGCTAGGGGGCGCCGCTCAAGCCAACCGCGCGTTGCTGGCGCCCCTTAAAGAGGACGCTCATTCGGCGACGTTGCTGCAGCAGTCTTTCAAAGAAGCGCGCATGGGTCGCGTGACCCAGCCTGTCGCGGCTGTGCAGGCCGACCTCAGTGCAAACGTCTTGTCGCCGCGCTTCGGGGTTGTGCAAGCGCGGCCCAATGGCGACATACGCGTTCGGGCTGTTGACGATCTTATTCGCGCGAAAGTGAACGGGTGCACCTCGGCAGGCGAAAAGTTTCGCCCCGAGTCCATCGATGCGCTGCGTCGCGTCGCCAGGGGCGTGGCGCAGGGCACGCGCGAACGCATCATGTTCTACGCAGCCGACATTGACTCGGCCTTCCGCAGGCTGCCCGCCATGCCGATGCATCGCCGGTTCCTGTTCTTCGTTTTCCTCGCGCAGGGCGTGGCCCATGTGGCGGGGCACCTAGCCATGCCCTTCGGCGCCGTCGCGTCCGTGCATGCGTGGGAAAGGGTCGGCGCGCTCATTTCGCACCTTGTGCGTCGCCTACTGTTCTTTCCCATGCTGCGTTTCGTCGATGACCTCTTTGGCGCCGAGCGCGCGGCGTGCGCCGAGCATGCGCTCGAGTGCATCGCGCGGCTCGTGCGCTGCATCCTCGGCCCCTCTGCAATCGCGGCGGACAAGGTCGCCGCGGGCATGCCGCTTGTCGTCCTGGGCTTCCAGGCCCGCGCAGACCACGGCGGTTTCTCGTGCACTCCGTCGCCCGACAAGGTCAACAAGTGGCGCGGTCGCATTGGCGACGCGCTGCGCTCTCCTCGGGCGTTTTGCGGCCAGGGGACGCGGCAAAGCTTGCGGGCGCCCTGATGTGGGCATGCTCGGGCATGTTCCATCGCATCGGGCGCGCGCTCATCCGGCCCTTGTTCGCCCACTCGAAGCAGTGCGGCGTGGTGGTGCCGCAGCAGCTGCGCGTCGCACTCGAATGGTGGGCAGAAGTCTTAGCGCTGGAGCTCTGCGAGACCCGTGTCTGGGCACCAGATCAGCGCGAGGCAGCGCAGCTCTTTGTCGACGCGCGCAGCACGCCGCCCCGCGTCGCGGCTGTGCTCTTCCTCGACGGACGGGCTTCCTACTCCGATTGGGCTCCCCCCGATTGCGTTCTGCGCCATTTCAAGCAAAGGGGCGATGCGCAGAGTATGTCCCTCGAGCTTCTTGCGATCGCGTTCGGCCTTTCCACATTCAGCGACGCGCTCGCGGGCAGGCGCGCGCGCCTCTGGCCCGACAACGTCGGTGCCGAGGCTGCCACGCGGAAAGGCGCTTCCAAAGAGTGGGACTATACGTGTCTCATCAAGTCTTTGTGGCTGCAGGCGGCGCAATTGCGCGTCTCGCTCCGCGTCGACCGCGCCCCCTCGAAGCTAAACGTTGCCGACTTGCCGTCGCGGGAGCAGTACTGGCTCCTTCGCGAGATCGGCGCTGCTTTCGTGCTGCCGCGTCTTAGCGAGGCATTCTGGAAGCCCGATGCCTGGGCATCTCTTTCGGCCGCGCGGGTGCCGCTGCGCCGCGCGTGAGCGTCCATCGGCCGACAGTTCGGCGTGCGCGCCAAATCGTCTTGCGTCGGCGCGCGCGCATGAAAGTGGTTTTATTCGTTTTCGCGTTGCGTCCGCGAAGGTCGCGCGCAGCGCAGCCGCTCCACGTGCGCTCGGCAAGCAGGGCTCGGCGGCAGTTGCATTGCTTGGCGCGCGCCGACCGTCGGAACGGCAATGGCCGGGCACGCCGCTTCCATGCGTGTCTTCCTGGAGAGAGCCGCGGGCCAAGGTAGGCGCGATGCGGCGTGGTTCGATGCGATCGCGGCGGCGCTCGCCGCCGAAAGCGTGTCGCGCCCGTCCGCGCTCGCTGGGGCCAAATTCAAAGATTTCCAATTCCTGGGCGCGGACCTCGACGGTGGCCCAAAGCGTTGTATTCGGGAAGCTATCGCACTCGCGACAAGCCTTCAGGTTCGCGCACTTCGCGCCGCGCCCCTGCCGCATCGCGCCCGCGTGCGCGCGCAGAAGGCAGCGCAAGTCCAGGGGCCGGTACCGGCGCGGGCGCAGGCCGCCGGGGGCATTGCGGTTGACGCGCTCCTCGAGACAAGGATTGCGGAGGCGCAGGGGGCCCGCGCGCCACAGTGCGGCGGGGGCCCGCGCGCGGAGCTCCGTTATCTTCGCCGGCGGCTTGACAGCGAGGAAGGCCCAGTGAGCGTCGCTAAGTGGCTGTCTTCGGCGCGCGCAGCGGCCCTCCTGGGCGCATGCCCGCGCTCCATCGCCTCTTTCAAGAGCGGCGTGGCAGCGTGGATCGCGTTCGCGCGCGAGGCTCTTGCGCTGCGCGGGCGCGGGCTGCCGCCGTCTGCCGACGGGTTGCTCGCGTGGTCGCTGCTGTTTCGCTCCGACCAGACCTTTTCCAATTATGTCTCTCACGTCAAGCTGGCTTGTCAGGTTTGCGATCTCCCTGTAGACGTTTTTCGTGACGCGCCCCTTCGCCGCGCCAAATGCGCGATTCGCAAGCGCGGCGCTTTCCTGCCCAGGGCGCCCCTATTCATCAGGGAGGGCGCAGTTTGCGCGCTGCTGAATCTGGCAAAAGAGCGGCGCGAGTCCGCCGTCTTCGCGCAGCTCTTTCTTGTCACGTACGTGTTTCTCTTGCGCCTTCCCTCGGAGGCCCTGGGCATTTCGTTCGACGGCGTCGCCTTTCGTCAGGGCGCAGGGGCTTCCCTCATTCTGTGCGACGGCCTCCTGCAGCTCAAATTGGCGCGCCGCAAGAACAAGCAATTCGGGTCCGTGCTGCAGCGAGCGTGCTGGTGCGCGCGCTGCACCAAGACGCGCCCGGTCCACGCGCTCGGCGCATGGTTCGCGGACCTGCCCGTGGGCACCAGGCCGTTCGCGGACATTAGCGCGGCCAGCTCTCTGAGCACGCTGCGCTTTCCCCTCGGTCAGCTCGGCGTCAAAGACGCGGCGCTCTATCGCACGCACGACCTGCGGCGCGGGCACGCACTGGACCTCCAGCAGAGGGGAGGCACCTTGCGCGAGATCCTTCAGGCGGGCGAATGGTTCTCGCCCGCGTTCCTGTCGTACCTCGATTTGACGCAACTCGAACTCGGCGCCGTGGTCGAGGCGCATCTAGCTGAGTCCGAGGACGAACTTGCCTAGGCAATGGCGACCCAGGCGTCGCGCGACGCCCTCGCGCGCACGCCTCCGCCGCTGCGTGTCACAACACCGCGGCGCCGCCGCGCGCATCACCCGTTTCGCAAGGGGTGCGCGTGCCGCGCGCGTCGCCGCTGCGCGGTGCACCAGCATGCATCGGCTGGGAGTGCTTGCATCCCTGGCGCCCCGCGCGTCGGCTCAGACTGGCGCCGCCAGGCTGGGCGGCGCGGGGGGGGCCGCACCCCTTGTCAAGTGGGTGCGGGCACCCTCGGGTGCGGGAGGCTTCTGGCGCAGCTGAAATTTGTGGTGGGCGCCCAACGCCATCGAAAGCGCGCGCGCTTGCTTGTGCTGCGTTGTGCGCGGGCACAAATTTCGCGCCCGCGCCTGGCCCGCGCGCGGGCGGGCAAGCTGGGCGCGCGGGCCGCCCCCCGCTTTCTTGCGCCGCGCGGCGCGCGGCCCCGCGAGAAGGGCCCGCGCGCGCGAGGCGGGGGGGCGTCAGCATGTGCCTCGCGGCGCGCGGCCCCACGCGAAGGGCCTGCGCGCGCGAGGGGGGGGGGGGGAGCGACGGCACGCGCCTCGCGGCGCGCGGCCCCGCGCGAAGGGCCCGCGCGCGAGGGGGGTGCGTCGTCACGCGCGTGGCTAGTCTGCTCTTCTGCTCGCTTTGCGTCGAACGCCCCGTGCAGGCGCGCCGCGGGGATCGCGTCGGGGCGGTTCGCGGCGCGCCTCGGGGTCGTGCGATGTGCAGGCATTGGTGCTTGCATCTCGCAGGCATGTGCGCTTGCGTCCCGCCGTGGCGGACGGCGCGCGCGCTTTCGCCCCGCCCTCCCGCTCCTGGGGGTACTTGCATCCCTGGCGCCCCGCGCGTCGGCTCAGACTGGCACCGCCAGGCTGGGCGGCGCGGGGGGTGCCGCACCCCTTGTCAAGTGGGTGCGGGCACCCTCGGGTGCGGGAGGCTTCTGGCGCAGCTGAAATTTGTGTTCGGGTGACGTACCCCACCGAGACGAGGAGCTGACGCCCCGAAGCCGCTTGACCATGCACGTACCCCAACGGGCGGCCCCCCTCGGACGACGGGCGCCAGTCTCCCCCCCCGGTCGCGGGCGCCGGCCCGTCGGGCACGTCCACAACAGAAACGCTCGGCCGCCAGGAGCTGCCACGTGATCTACACACACGCGATGCGCAGGAGCACTGCCGAATGCCTGCCCGAACAATGGCCGCAGGAGGGGGGGGGGGCGCTCGCTCTGGAGGGGGGGGGGGGGTGCGAAGCACTGAATTGAGTCGGAACTGAGGTCCCCCCCCCTCCCGCAGAGCGAAGCTTGAGCGAGCTCAAGCCCGCGCTCTCAGAAACTCACACGCCGGATCGGCGGATTTGCACGAGCACTGCCGAATGCCTGCCCGAGCATGGGCGGCAAAATGTTTCTCAAAAAAGAAAAAGGACGCCCCCTGTCGGCCCATCGCCAGATCTGTGCACTTCTGGCGACCGCGGGCCCGGTGCCTCGGGCGGGTTTGGCCCTGCGACTGCACCCGGCCTGTGCCGCCCGGCAGGCGCAGGGAAGCAATGTTGATAGACTGCGCTGGGACACGGCTGCATCCTGGGCTCGCTGCGCACGGGCGCGAAGGACCCTCTCTGGAGGGCCCTCGCGCCGGGGAAACCGCCCGCTTCGAATCCGAGAAGTGTCTTCAGTACCCTCCGACGGCTTCGAAGGGCACTGCGCAGCCAAGTGGCGTTGCCCGCCCGGGTTGCAACTCCCGCGCACGCGGCAGAAGGTGATGCACTAGTCTGCCCCATGAGCCAGGACGTGCGAAGCATCCCGCGCTGCGCCGCACGGGCAGGCGCCCACAGGCACCACTGGCTGTCGCCGCCGAGGTGGTCTCGGCGACAGCAGGCCCAGTGCAGGGCACGTTGCGGCTCTCTGCGCCGCAAAAAGCAGCGACTCTGCACGAGCCGGTGGCACCTCCAGCAGGTCCGCCCGGCGCCAGAGAACCTTGGCGCGCGAGGCGGCGCGAAGGTTGGCATGCTCGAGCTGTCTCTCCCCCTCGACCTGTCTCTCCCCCTCTCCCCGCGCTGCCATGGGGCCTCCCTCGCCCGCTGCCGCGGACCCTCGTCGGCGAAGCTGCCATCGCAGGGGGTGGACATGCACGCTGCAGCGGCCCGCGATCAGTCACGAAGCGCATCGCGCCCAGAGGTGGCTTCAATGGCCAGCCCGAGCACCGGAATCTTTGCCCGCGGCACCGCGAGCCGACGAGCGGCGCAGCGCGCCCTGGGCCGTGGCCGGCCTCTCTCTCCGTCGGGCCCGAGGGCGCGGGCCGCGGCCGCGGCGCCGCACCTCCTCCTCGGGCTGGAGGAGGAGAGCGCCCGCGGAGCCGCCGCCGAAGGCGGGGACCGCATCCGTGGAGTGGCGACAGCGGTCGAGCGGCCCTCCGACGACCGCCGCCGCCTGCGCCGCTCCTGCTTCATCGGAGGTCGTCGCCGCGCTGCGGGCCGGCGCCGCGCTGCGGGTCGGCGCCGCGCGCCGCGCGCCGCAGCGGGGGCTCCCCGTTGTCGTGTGCCGGCCGGCGCCCTGGGCAGCCGGCGGGATCGCGTGCGGCGTCGAGGAGGCCACGTCACCCACGCGGTCGGCGCACGTCCAGGTCCTGTGGGCCAGGGCCACGGACCTGCCCGAATGGGATTGAGTCTGAGGCTCGAGCTGCCTCACGGCCCAACCCGCCCAGAGCCAGCTCCAGTCGAGGGTCGCAGAAGACAGCCAGCTCGAGCTCAAGATCCGACTCAGCTCCGAAGCGGCATGATACGACGCGGGACGCAGGGCGCGCGGACGCGCCACGGAGTGTGACAGGGGCGCAGTACGGGATGCGCCAGAGGACGCGTCAGGGGACGCGGCGAGCGCGCGCTACGGAACGGGCAGGGAAAGCGCCAGGGGACACGAAACACCGTACTTGGTGTGGCGGACGCTTGCGGCCACCCCCATTGGGGCCTTGGGTGGAGCTCCCTGTGGGGCTACGAAGCGCTGTACTGGGTGTGGCGGACGCATGCGGCCACCCCCACTCGGGGGGGGGGGGCAGCGGAAGGAGGAGGAGGAGACGCGGGGACCGTCTCGTCAAAACGAGGACCCAACGCCACAGGATGTTGGGGAAAAAACGTTTTCTTCCTTCCTTGCCCCCTCGTTATTGCTCCTCCTTGGCGCCCAACGGGCCAGCGGCGTCTGCGGTCTGGTTTGAACTGATGCGTCAGCGCGCTGACCTGTACGATGTTTGCCCCGAAGCTGATGATTGGAGATCCGTTGCGATTGTCCTATCTTGCTATTCCTCGCCTCGCCCCTGTCAGAGGATCAGCCCACGTGCAGCAGCGGCACCACATCGCGAGCATCGGCGCTGGCCTACTCCGATCTAATCCCGCGACAGTCCACTTGATGCCCGCCTGACTCGGCCTAATCGAGCTTAGCCCTGGGCTTCCAACTTTGGCTGATACATCTGAGTTGGGCTCGGTGCAGCCCTTGCTCGCTCTCCCGAAGGTGTTCCAGGAGATGCCTCCTGACGATCATGTGTTGTCCCGTGGCTGCCGCCACCGTCGTCGTCGTGGTCGTCGTCGTCGTCGTCGTCGTCGTCCGTCGTCGTCGTCGTCGACGTCGTCGTGGTCGTCGTCCGTCGTCCGTCGTCGTCGTCGTCGTCTTCGTCGTCGTCGTCCGTCGTCGCTGCGCTCCTTCGTCTGTCCCGTTCGCCGCCGCCGCCTCGTCGTCGCCGCCTCGTCGTCGGTGGCTGCCGCCTTTTTGTTTCTGTGCCTGTGGACCTCGTGCCCCTCGGGGCGCGCGCGAGGCCAGCCTGCAGTGCCGTTTTTAATGCATGCTCCGCGTGCGGATCATGCATTACCAATGCAGGGATTTAGATTTAGAGTATCAACGATGAGTTCATGAATAAATTTAGAGTCGACGAGACAGTGCCGATCAGTAGCGTCGATGAGCGTCGAATTAGCTTCGAGTCAGCGTCGATGGAGCGTCGACGAGCGTCGATGCGCAAGAGCCGACGAGATGGTATGGGAGGCTATCATGCGTTGCCACCGAAGTCTCTTCCTCCCGCGGTCCCTGTCGGGGGATGGCCCAGGCGCAGTTGCGGCACCACGTCGCGAGCATCCGGCGCGAGGACCGGGATTACTTGTGGGAGGGCATCGACGGCCTCACCCGCACGGAGCTCATCGAGGCTTGAGGGGGACATGACGAGGGGAATGAGAAGTGGAGATAACGATCAAGAGGATCAGAGGAGGAAGGAGGAGCCGATACCGCTATCCTTGCCCCGTTTTCAATTTTTGTGGCCTCCTGGGAGGTCCTCGTCGCCATGGCTAGATTCGCCTCGAAGTCTTGATCAGAACGCGCCTTGGGTCAGGCCCAGTGAGGAGCGGTCCGGGTGTAGAAAGAGGGCGAGGAGGAATTGTTCGAGATGGGGGAGGTGGAGGAGAAGGAAGTTTTGAGATCCAGGCGTTGCGATTTGATCACGCTGGATGTTCTTGCCCGGCTTCGGGTTACGGAACCATCACAGATCGATCGGGCTCGATCGATCTAGGGCCCTGGTCTTGAGTGTTGCGCGTTGTTTCATCTTTCTCGCAACGTCGGATTCAGGAGATCACGAGGAGGACGAATAGGAGGAGGAGGAGGAGAAGGTGGAGGAAGAGGAGTTGGACGACGATTTTGAAGACGAAGAGGAGGAGGAGGAGGAGGAGGAGGAGGAGGAGGAGGAGGCGGAGGATGACGACGACGACGAAGACGAAGAGGAGGAGGAGGTGACTCGGAGTGGTGGAGGGGCGAGCCCCTCCGACGGCCGCGTACCAGCCGGTGACGGTGCGCGGCATAGGGGATTTGAAATGAGAGAAGGCCAGGGGCCAGGAGAAAGGCAAGGGAAGGTCGGGGGCGGCACAGAGGGGGGTGATGATTAGGGTGGGGTGGATATCGTGGCGTGGGCCATGATATTTCCTCAGATTCCATGGCGCCTCTTCTTATTTCATTACTTCCCTCTCCCTCCCCCCTGGGCTGCGCACATGCCGCCGGCCATGATTTGCGCCCCCCCCCTCTTGGACGCCCCCCTCGTCGCCGCCCCCGAGGAGGGAGGATGAGGATCCGACGCGTCGTTGGTCTTTGACTCTGCCGCGGATCATCGGCTATGCGGTGGCAGACGGTCATGAGAGACGGTCGTGGGCATGCCGCCGCGAAGTTTGATCCAGTAGAGCGACCGCGCGTCTCTTTTTGTGGTGTGGGTATCTCCCTTGGCGAACTCTTGGATGTCCAAGACGCGCAAGTGCTGCGCGGCGGAGAAAGCAAGAGGATGAGGATGAGGAGAGCGAACGAGGAAATGAGGGAATCGATGAGCTAGGAGGAGGAGGAGGAGGAGTAGGAGGAGGAGGAGGAGAACCGAGGAGGGGGAAGCGGGAGGAAAGGGGAGATGAGCAGGAGGAAGGGAGGAGGAGGAGGAGGAGGAGAAGGTGTTGTCCAGGGGGAATCCAGGAGGAGACCAGCAAGAGGACGAGGAGGACGAGAAGTACGAGTAGGTGTTGTAAGGCCCAGTTGCGGCCACCAGCGAGTGTTGGTGGTGATGGATGATGTAGGATACTAAGGATGACGACGATTCTGGGCATGTGATCAAAGACCCAATGGAGGAGGAGCTAAAGATGAGTAGGCTGATGAGGAGGGGGCCCTCTGGTAGCCATCTTGTGTCCAACCTCATATCCTCTGATAGTTCGCAACACCATGTGCTGGGGTCGGGTCAATCGTGGCCACGATGGCGCAGACAGATGTCACCCAAAGAGCCCAACACGCAGCAAAACTGATAGATCCTCGAACTCTCGATCATCACTCCCCGATCGACGATCTCGTCGACGACGACGACAACGACGACGGGGTAATCAACGCTCAGGCACACGCTGGAGGGACCTCCCAGCCCCATACATCTACGCCAGGCGTGCACCAAACGCGCCATCCGAGTCAGCGGCGTGGACAAGGCGGAGATGCGCGCGAACCTGCAGAGGCGGACTGGGCGTGGGGAAGGAGAGAGAAGTGGACTCCTCGTTACCCCCTCCTTCTCCTGCTACTCCTCTGGCAGTGCCCCGTCGTGAAGCCTGTAACGGCTCGGAGTCGTGTCGTTCGTCAGTTCCACATCTCGGGTCTTGCTCTGAGTCGTTGTGCGTAGCTCGGCCTCTCTGGAGTTGGGGGGCAGGTCCGGTCGCGCGCTGCGCCGCCCCCGGGCGGCGCGCGCGCGCCCAGCTCGGCGGGCGCCCGCCCACCGGGCGGGCCTCCCCGCGAGCCTGGGGGGGCGGCTTGCCGTGCGAGGGGGAAGCGCGAGGGGGAAGGGTTTTAAATCGGGCCTGTCCCCCTACAGGGGGGATGTTCGACGAAACATAGAACACACCCCCAAAATATCCCAACGAGGTCAACAATTAGCCTGGCGAGGGACCCAACCATATGCAGTTGCGAGTACCGCAGTTGTGAATATAGTCCTCGGTGGAGCTCCTTATGGGGCCACGAACTGTGTGAGGGGCCTGCCACAGTGGTTGTGGTGAGGGAACCGCATGCGGGCACCCCCAGTGGGGCCTTCGGTGGAACTCCCTATGGGGCTACGAAACGCTGCACTGGGTGGGGGAACCGCATGCGGGCACCCCCACTGGGGCCTACGGTGGAGCTCCCTATGGGGCCACGGAACGCTGCCCTTGGTGGGGGAACCGCATGCGGGCACCCCCACTGGGGCCTTCGGAGGGGCTACGAAACGAAGCAAGGAGGGGGAGGAAGGAGGAGGGGGGGTGGGGAGGAGGAAGGAGGGGGAGGAGGAGGAGAGGAGGAGGACGCGGAGCGCTGTCTCTTCAAACCGAGGACAACACACCACAGGACGGTTGGAAACTATTCAAAAAAGAATCCCCAGAGGGGGCAGGGTTAAGTCGAGCCTGTCCCCCTCCAGGGGGGGGTTCGACGAAAGACAAAAGATACCCCAAAAATAATATAAAAAATTGTCCCAGAATGGTCTGGTCTGGGGATCCTTTTTTGAGTATTGTGTGGCCTTTTTGGTGTATGTTTGGTGTATTTCTCATTTTTCGTCGAAGATCCCCCTGTAGGGGGACACGCCCGACAGAAGGGCAGGGGCGCAGGAGCAGGCCGCATCGGCCTCCCCTCGCCCATCGCAGCGCCAGCGGGGGCCTCACGATGAGGTGCCCTGCCCAGCAGCGCGTGGTCTCCGCCCTCGGGGGCCTGTCGCCGATCCGCCGGCGATGTGTCGCCGAGCCCGGCTCGACGCCCCCCCCCTCCTCCTCCTCCTCCTCCTTCTGCTCCTCCTCCTCCTCCTCCTCCTTCTGCTCCTCCTCCTCCTCCTCCTCCTTCTGCTGAGGATCGGAGGCTGCATCGTGAGCGCTGGTCCCCAGAGGGTACCCGCCAGGGCTGCGCGCCTAAACGGCGGATCGCCCTTGAGGGGCAGCGCGAGCGCCCGCTCGAGGGGCCATTCGGGCTCAGGAGCGGTTCCATATCGAGACTGATTGTCGCGAAGACGACGCTCAGAAGTCTTCTAGTAGCACGGCTGGTGTTATGGAGTAGACTTCCAGGAGCTGCCTTGCCTTGCCTTGCCTTCTGCTCCTCCTCCCTTTGGAGCCGCGAGACGTTGGAGGGTGTGCCGAACTGGCCGCGGCAGGCCCTCCCCCTCCCGCCTGAGCGCCCCCCCCCCCGCGGATGCACTCCTGGGAGGTCACCTTCTCACTTTGCCTTGGTCCGAAATCTGGCTTCATCCGGCTCCATCCCCCTCTTGAGCCGGCTACATCTCGGAGGTTGATAGACCTCATACCCTGACGCGTCGATTAGCGAATTGGTGGCCGTCTTCGGTTCGCGAGAGGGCGTCGCGGCCGTCATGTTCGCGGGTCCAGGTCCGTCGGTTTCGACCCTAGGCCAATTTCACTACAGGGTGGTTTACTAAAGGGAGGTTTGTCCGCCGCCGATAGTCCCGCTTCATCCCGGCTTAATCCGTGGGCTAATCTTGCGTAGCAGCCTCCCAATGGGGTTCAATATTTTTTGATCATTCCGACGGCGACCTCCCACTAATTGCGTCCTAACACACACACATGCACTAGAACCCCGTCCAAGCACCCCACGCTTGTTGCTATTCGCTCAGTTGTCGCGTCCGCCTTGATTCACCAGAAGGGGCAGTGGGCCTTCAGGCCCTGTTTCGGCAGTCTTTTTTGCCACGGCGCTGTCTTCTGCCAGCCCAGACAGTGCAGGCGCCCGTTCGCCAAGACAGGCAGGCCGCCAGGCCTAGTTCGATGATCCTCCGAACGTGTGTTAGCCCAATGTGCGTTATCTTCCCTCAGTTCCGCCGAGAACTACCAGCTCTTGACAGTTATCAGCGCGCAGAAGCAAGTGTTGCGGGGCCTCGTCGGGGCCCCGACGGAGTCGTCTTTTCGATGAGGCTCGCCTCTTGCCCTTACTCAGAAGGTGACCCTCAGCTCCTCCTCCCGTCCTTATCCCCTTATTCCCTCCGCCTCCTGAATTCCCTCCCTCATCGTCCCCGCTCCTGCCCCTCGCCCCTCTCCGCCGACAGCTGGTGCACATTACCGACGTAACTTTCCGTTACCGACGTGACGCTTCCGTTAGGAACGTTTTCTCCCGTTAGTAACGTAAACGTTCCGTCGGTTTCGTCAATCCCGTCAGTTATTTTCGCGGCCCGTGGCAGAGTTTGGCTCCCGCGACGCACGAGGGACACTTGTTTTCCAGCCCTTTACATTTGAGTCAGCCGCGAACTCCGCACTGAACTTCGCGCGCGGCACTTGCAGTCCGCCAGCGTGCCGAGACGCCGTGTGACGCGCGCAGATGTGCGTTTTCGGGGATGGACAGACCTCCTACCCTGACACGTCGATTATTAAGGAATTGGCCGTTTCCGGTTCGCGAGAGGGCGTCGCGGCCGTCATTTTTGCGGGTCCAGGTTCGTCGGTTTCCGTCCTAGGCTGTTTTCATTAAGGGGAGGTTTACCAAAGGGAGGTCTGTCCACCGCCGACGTTTACACAGCATCAACTCACCGAGGGGCTTCGATGGAGTGAGCATCAACACACGTCCTGAGGATCATCGACTAGTCACTAGTCACCTGCAGGGGGAGGGGGAGGGGAACGACGGCCGTTCAGGCCTCCAGAGGCCTCCGGGCCCTCGGTGTTGGGGCGCAGCGGCCGCGCTGTGCTCTGTGTGCGGCAAAGACCGCAGCCTCCGCGGCACCAGCCGCGGAGGCGTTCGGCCGCGTCGCGTGAGCGACTTGGGGCCGCGCTCGAACGGCTCGAAAGGGGAACGACTTGCCTCCGGGGCACCGACCGGGGGCGATCGTCTCATGGGGGGGGGGGAGCGACGCTTCTCGGCGGGTCTGCGGAAGATGGTCGTCCGTTCTTGCAGTTCGGTGGTCGCGCCCCGGGGTGAGTTTCACCACCTGCGCCTCGCCGAGGGACGTCCAGGGGTGCCCAGATCGCCCCGAACGGTCTTTGGAGGCTTGAGCTAGTTCTCACCCGAAATCCGAACGGCGAGGATCAGTTGAGGGGGCCAGGCTCCGGGGGCACACATCGACCCGCCATCGCCCGTTGATCGCCGGCAGGGGTCCGATGGCCCCCTTCCAGACGAGGAGCGTGCGGCTTCGGCCCTCGGGGTTCTATCGCCGACCAGTCGGCGACGTGTCGCCGAGCCCGGGTCTATGTTTCCCCCATGAGCCACTCCCCCCGTCATTGCCTTTCGCCGTAGGGGACAAAGGAGGACGACGTTCCCTCCTGGAGGCGCCAGGAACAAGCGCGCCAGCAGCAACAGAACACGCGCTGGCGCTGGCCCGACGCAGCGCAGCTCCGAGCTGGTGGAGGCCTCCGCTCGTGCCGCTTGGACCCTCCCGCCCCGTCTGCGAACTCGGATGTGGTCGCCTTCTCTTGCTTCTGGTTGCTGCTGGTCCTATCCATGCCTCCCCCGTGGACGGGTTCTCAGGGGCCTGCGGGGGGGGGGGCGGGGGGCGGCCAGCTTCCCGTCCTCCTCCCCAGGGGCCTGGGTTGACCCCGGGTCCCGGCGCCTGTCCCGTGGGCGTGTGCCGGGGTGGCCGTTGCCCAGGCTGCTGCGCGGCGGCTCTGCCGCGGCGTCTCCTCGGCACCCCGGTCTCCTCATCCTTGTCCTCCTCCTCCCAGGAGAGGAAAAAACACACAGACACAATTAATCCTCGATTCCCCAGAAAATGTGGGAAAATATGGGAAGTGGTGGGGGAGACAGAAACCCAGAAAATTTGGGAAAATATGGGGAATAGTTTCATTTGTGTGTATTTATTTGTGTGTCCTGGGGCCCCTTCATCCTCCCCCCTCCCTTCATCCCTCTCTCCGGTCACCTTTCGGTGACCGTGGTTGGGTCAAGCTTTGCCTTGCCAGCGTCGCCTCCCCTGCCCAGCAGCTGTGCTCAAGGCACCGCGCCCGCGGGCTCGCTCTGTGGCCCCAGGGAACCAACCGCCCAGCCAAGTCTAGACGCTTTGCGTAACCCCACAAGCGTACTGCAGGTGCGTTGCCTGTGGTAGCTAATTCGCCTCGCCTGCTGGCCCAGACGACGCCTACCGCTCCCCGTCCGCCGCCTCGGAACCGCCGACCAAAAAAAATAACCCCACAAGCTTTCGGACGCCACCGGGAATGGGTCTACCTGTTCTTTTCGCCCTTCTGAGCTGCCGCCCGGCTGCTGCGCCTGTCTTGCTTTCCGCTTTTCGCTGCCTAGTCGTGGCCCGGCTACAGTTTGGACGCTTTTTGACCCGCTTCACGAGGCCGTTGACCAAAAAGTACCCCACCAGCTTGCCGCTGCGCGGCGCCTGTTCGTTTTCGCCACCTCTGTGGCCTTCTTTTCCAGCGTCTAGCCGGCGGCAGCTGCGCCGTGGTTCCGACTTTCGCTTGCTGCTCGACCCTTCTGACGCTGCGCGGGTGCCTGCCTGCGGTCACGATCAAAAAATAACCCCGCCAGCCCATCTAGAAACGGTGCCCGGGCGAGTTGCCTTGATCAGGCATTTGTGGCAGCACGTAGCGGTATAATGGTTGGAAAGCATTCAAGACCCAAGAGCCCAGCAGGGGGAGGATGGCAAGAGGAACCAGAGGAAGAGGGGGAGGAAGGGGAAAGGGAGGAGGGAGGAGGGAGGAGGGGGGAGGACAAAGGAGGAGGATAAGGAGGATGAGGACGAGGAGGAGGAGAGGATGAGCAGCATGATGAGGAGGAGGAGGGCGGCGAACACAAAGGTCAGAGGCCTCTTGGATGCCACTCAGAGTGTCTGCGGGTTTTTCTTGAGAGCTTTTGGTAGGCCTTTGGGGCATCTTGGGGCCTCTGGAAGAGTCTTCGGGGTCTTGCACGTCTCGCAGTTGCCTCTTGGAGGCATCTGGGGGGCATCCGGGGGAGCTCTTCGGGCCTCTTGGACGCCTTTTGGGGCCCATTTGGGGCACTCTTGGGGGCCTCGGGGTCATCTTGGGGCCATCTTGGAGGCGATCGACCAAAGTAGGGGCCGTGTTAAATTAGCCAGCCCCCCCTTCCCAAACGAGGCCCAAACCTTAGGACAACTTGTGGTTTTAGATTGCCGCGGCCTCTTGGGGCGTCTTGGGTGCCTCGTGGGGCCTCTGGGGGGTTTATGCGAGCCTCTTGGAGGCATCTTGGGGACCTCTTGGTGGCCTCTTGGGGCCATCTTGGCACCTCTTGGGGAGCCTCGGGGGCCATCTTGGGGCCATCTTGGGGGAGGTTGGTCAATGGAGGCGGGGTTCCTTACTTACGCCCCCCCTGAGAAGCCAGCACGTTGCCAAACCCTTCATACATCAATTATGTAGGCCGTCTTGCTGAGGCTTCGTGGGGCGTCTCGGGGGCCTCTCAGGGCCTCTTGAGACTTGTTGGGGGTCTCTCGGGAGCATCTTGGGGGCATCGTGGGAGCCTCTTGGTGCCCCCTTGTGACCTCCTGGGCTTCTTTCGGGGCTGCCTTGAGGCACCCTGGGGAGCCTGGGGCGCCATCTTGGGGCCATCTTGGAGGGGATTCATCAACGGACGGGCCGTACGAGATCAGGCTCCGACCGCCCGTATGCCCAAATGTAGCCAAAACCGAGCGTCCGTGATTCTGGTTTCTTCGCCGAGGCCACCTTGGACGCACCAGTCCTTCGCGAAACGTCGCGTGCAGGTCCAGGGGTAGATGGTACGGGGAACGGTAATGCCCTCCCCGACGGGGAAGAAAGAAGATGCACGAGGAATCACCCCAAACTAAACCACTGATGTCCTTCTTACTCTTGCCGCTTCCTCCTTTCTGGTCCTCCTACCTCCCCTTCGACCCCGCCTCCTCGTCATCGTCCTCGTCGCCTTTGCTCTCGTCGTCGTTGTCGCCGTCGTTGCGGGCCAGGTGGCTGGAACTGTCGTCCCACCGCGAGATTCCGACGTCGGCCCTCCTGTGGGTACAGAGCTTCTACTTGCTCCAGGACGAGCAGTTGGCGGTGGGGACAGGGGGATGGGGATCGGAGGCCCAAGCATATGCATCTCCAGTGCTGCCTCCCAGCCTTCCCCTCCGAGGACCTGAAGGAGGGGGGGAGGAGGAGGAGGAGGAGGAGGAGGAGGAGGAGGAGGAGGAGGAGGAGGAGGAGGAGGGAGGAGGAGGAGGAGGAAGAGAAAGAGGAGGAGGAGGAGGAGAAAGAGGAGGAGGAGGAGGAGGAGGAGGAGGAGGAGGAGGAGGAGGAGGGAGTGGGGCAGAGGACGCTGGATCTCTGCGCAGCTGCCTGCGGCAAGTCCCGCCACCACGCCATCCCAGCATTCTGAGCGACGACTCTTCGAGCGGCACGGGAGGCCGTCACGTGTGACACTACGTTGAAGTCGGGCCTGTCTCTTTATTGGACGAATACTCAGAAATAGTACAAATATAGTCAGGGGGCGATGTGTTAAAGTATGTTCGGGAATTATTGGAGTACTTTTGGACGTTTTTAAATGTTTTGTCCAACATCCCCCTGTACGTAGGGGGACAGGCCGGACCTAACACTACGTGTCCCAAGGTTCGGGAAAACCATGATGAGCAGGATGATGATGATGACGAGGAGCGGATGACCAGTGCACACCCAAGACGCATCAATGATGTTGAAAGAATCCTTCCCTCGAAGTTCCCCTCTCACAGGCACCTCGAATGATGTCTTATGCGGAAAGAGCTCCATTGGAAGGCAACCGTTTGAAGTTCCTCAACCATGCCAGAGCACCATTCCTGGGATTACAACGCCGCGAATGTGCGTCCCGGTTGCGTCCAGACGGTCCTACACATTGCCAGAACAATTCCAAAGACGCCCACACCGCGAATCAACGTGACTGTCGCGCCTCGGCTATCCGAAACGGTGCCAAACCATTGAGCCGTCTTGCGGAGCAGTCCTGGGTCCGTATTGCGGCCCTCTTAGGCCGTCGTGGGGTCCTCTTAAGCCGTCGTGGGGTTCTCTTGCGCTGTCTTAGAGCTCTCTTTTCGTATGGGGGGTATATTGAGGCTGTCGTTCGGCAGTCTGTGCGTCGTCTTGGGCCGTCGAAGGGCCTTCTACGGTTGCATTGGTCCTCCCCAGAGGCCCTCTTTTGCCGCTTTGGGACAGTCTTCGGGGCAGCTGGGGCCATCCTGGGATCCTGGTGGGCCACCCTGGCGGAGGAGGAGGAAGAGAAGGAGGAGGAGGAGGAGGCTTCTTGGGGTTTGTCCGCTCACGCTACTTGAAGGACAGGTGCAATCAACACCCCCGCAATTCGGGGGCGGAGAAGTCCCTTGCCTTGCTCCTCGCGGGCAAGGACCCCAGCTCGAGGGCGGTGTTCGGTCGGAGTATCGTGGTCCAGCGCGGGAGGTAACGTTCCTCGGCGCGGGCCAGACGCATCGCACTGCCCTCGACCCAATCTTCCCTTTTGCCTCGGGTCTTGCACCGCTGGGTCCGTGCTGTTGGTGAAACTGGTGAAACAGGAGGAGGCTTCTTGGGCAGTCTTGAGCTTACAGTGCTGTTTCTAATACATGCTCCGCGTGCGGATCATGTATTAAACATGCAGGGACTTAGTATGAAAAACAACGATGAGATCATGCATACAGTTATTCCCAAATCAGTCATGTATTGAAATTCCGATGCTACAAACAAAAAAAGCCCATGTGTTAAAAACTGTCCTGTATGGAAGTCCGAGCCGGGAGGATACGAGATCTGCCGACCATCTTGTCGGCTTTCGTTGCCTGCCCGGGCCGTCTCGGGGGAAGCCCGGGAGCGCGGGCCGGCAGTCCTTGCACCAGGGAGCACGGCCTCGAGGGCGCGGACCCGAGGTTGTGTCAGGAAGGGTTGCTGGGCATGTTTTCCACCACCACCACGATAAGTTGGAGGGGGGGAGGGGGTCCTCTTCCTCCTCCTCTTCCTCCTCATCCTCCGCCTCCTTCCCCCTTCCAGCTTATGGTGGCGGTGGTGGAAAACAGGCCCATCAAGGATCCTGGCCTCAGGAGGGGGAGCGGTGCATGCCCCTGGACGCGGCGAGAGGAGTGGGCCCTCGGAAGAATACAGGCACATTATCAGACAGCCCTCAGCATTCTGCCACGCCTGAGCGTGCTAGGAAGCACGGTGGCGGGGGCCACAGAGAGGGTGCAGGCCCTAGAGCGGTTGCAGAGGAGAACGAGGGAGGAGGAGCATTTCGAGTTGTGTTGACGTGTTGTTACCCTTATGTGGAATCAGGGGTAGTTTTGCTTGTGCACTCATACAAAACATGCGTGCTCGCGTGAGTGGATGATGATGATGATGATGATGATGATGATGATGATGATGATGATGATGATGATGATGATGATGATGATGATGATGATGATGATGATGATGATGATGAGATGATGAGTGGAGGAGGAGGAGGAGGAGGAGGAGGAGGAGGAGGAGGAGGAGGAGGAGAGGGAGGAGGAGGAGGCGGAGGAGAAGGAGGAGTACCAGGACGGGAGAGAGGACGAGGAAGAGGCGGAGGAGGGGCATTTCTCCTGATCCTCCCCTCTCCTGGATATCCGACGTCGTCATTTGTTTTGTGACATGCGCCCTGGGACTGTTTTCTTCACATTCTGAGTCGTTTCGCGAAGGTGCCAGCGCCCGCACCAGACCTCCAGAGGCCGAAACTGAACAACAAATGAGCAAACAACAACTAGCCAGCGCGATTTTTCGTTGCGAGGGATGTGGCCTTCCCCCCCCCACGCGATAAGCACTTGCTCCTCATTCTGATGCCCTTTGTTGTTTTTGCTCCGCGATAAGGGGCTCCCCGAGTTCCCGAGCTCGTTCGCGAGGACAGTCTCTCATTCCTTAGTGTTAGTTGTATGCCCCAGGGTCCAGAACTTCTTGCCAGAGGCCGCCATCGAGTAACTCTAGGCCTCCCGGATGGTGTCGGAGTAGATAGGGCCGGAGGATGGCGCCGCATCACCGATGCATCGGCGATGCGGCTCGATGCGGAGCCCGATGTTTTCCAAGCCGACGTCGCCAGTGAGTCGCCGATGTCGGCGTTGCATCGCCGATGTATCGGAGGCGACGATAGGGGCGAATAGCCCAGGGGGGAGCAATACATGTATCCAGGGGCGCCGATGAATTATATCTTCGACAAGGCTCCCGGGCGAATACGTGTAATGCCCGCCCCTGAGCTTTTCGCCGTTGTCGTCGACGCCGAATGTATCGCCGATGCATTGGCGATGCGGCGCGATCATCCGACCCCACCTATCCCGACCCCATCTGGGAGGCCTCTAGCAACCTCGCCGACGCTGCAGCGCGACACGCGGGACGTCGGATGCGTCGGCCCCTTCCAAGCAGAGGCTGGCCCGTGGACCTCGTGCGGGGCGCGTCCCTGGCAGCGCTCTCAGGGCGGGTCGGGCTCCCTGTGTGCCCCGGGACACTGCGGTGCCCGCACAATCGCCAGGTTCCTCCTCCTCCTCCTCCTCCTCCTCATCATCATCATCATCATCATCATCCTCATCCTCATCCTCGCCCTCCTCCTCCTCCTCCTCGCCCTCCCCCTCCTCCTTCCCCTCCTCCTCCCCCTCCTCCTCCTCCCTATCCTCCTCCGCCTCCTCGCCCTCCCCTCCTCGGGTCGCCTACGGCCCCGGGGGAAACCGTCCAACCCGCTGAGGCCAGCCCTGGGCGACCTCCTCACCAAGACAGTGCGGCCGGAATGGGCGCACTGTCTTGGTGCGGATGAAGGCGATTACCCGTAGCAAGATAACAAGGCATTGCGTGTGATACTTGGTGCCTTGGCGTCTCAATTCTTTTTCTTCGTCGCCCACGCGCTTCGGCGTATGGCACAGCGCGAGCGTGAGCACGACTCTGAGACTTGGCTCGTTCTCCGCGGCCGTCTCGGGCGACTGGGGCCTTCAGGGTCTCACAACGGTGCGGTCACGGACCGTGCGGTAAGGTCTTCGGGGATCTTGATGTCACCGCATTGCCTGCGAACGCAACATTGCGCCCCCCCCCCCAGAACAGTCTCGACCCTTCAGTGGATGGAGAAGAAGACCCCTACCCCCGCGTATATGGCGTTTTCGAAACAATCCTGCCTGTTCGATCCGTTGTAGGGGTGCTCCTTGTGAGGGTGGTCCCCCTGGCCTTAACTCATGGACATGACTCAAGCTAAACGGCGTTTTGATGATTTCGTTGACCGTTTTCGTTTCGATTCCATTCGCAGCAAATGCAGACCGAATACAGTACGAAGGACAACATAAACAGCTTTGAAACGAAACGAAACGCTGATTAGCTCGAGCCTTGATGGCAGTGAGGCTTGGCGCGGTGGCAGACAAGTTTAACTCAGCGTGTGCTACACCGCCTCAACACACCTGGGCCGGCACGGGAACGGAAAGAGCGCTGCAGCAACTTGCCCGAGAGGGCTCATGGCACGCTTCGCTCTTGGAAGCCTTGGTCGTAAGAGTTTGTGACGTCACCGCTCGCTCTTGGGAGCCTTGGTGTTCCGAGACTTTTACGTTGCCGCTCGCTCTTGGGAATTTTGGTGTTGAGAGTTGTGTACGGCACCGTTCGCTCTTGGGAGCCTTGCTGTGCACGACTTTGTAACGTCACCGTTCGCTCTTGGGAGCCTTGGTGGGAAGAGCTTGTGACGTCACCACTCTCTGTTCAGAGCCCTGGTGTTCAGAGATGTTTGTCGTTGCTGTTCTCTCTTGGGAGCCTTGGTGTGACGAGCTTCTTACGTCACCTTCGCGCTTGGAACCCTGGGTATGGAGAGCTTCTTACGTCTCCTCCTCCTCCTCCTCCTCCTCCTCCTCCTCCTCCTTCCTTCTCCTCCTCCTCCTCCTCCTCCTTGTCCTCCTCCTCCTGCTCCTCCTCCTCTTCCTCTTCCTCCTCTCTCCCTCCTCCTCCTCCTCCTCCTCCTCCTCGTCCTCGTCCTCCTCCTTCTCCTCCTCCTCCTCCTTTCTCGTCTTCGTCCTTGTCTTCCACCTCCTTTTTCTCCTCCTCTTTCTCCTCCTCGTTCTCTTCCTCCTATCCCTCCTCTTCCCCCTCGTCCTTTCCCTCCTTCTCCTCCTCCTCCTGACTCCTCCTCCTCCTGACTCCTCCTCCTCCTCCTCCTCCTGACCCTCCTCCTCCTCCTCCTCCTCGTCCTCCTCCTCCTCCTCCTCCTCCTCCCTCCTCCTCCTCCCCTCTTTACGCCTCCTCCTCCTCCTCCTCCTCCTCCTCCTCCTCCTCCTCCTCCTCCTCCTCCTCCTCTCCCCCCTCCTCCTCCTCCTCCTCCTCCCTCCTTCCCTCGTCCCTGTCCTTGTCCTCCATCTCATGTTTCTCCTCCTCTTTGTCCTCTCTTTCTCCTCCTCCCTCCTCGCTCCTCCTCTCTCCTCCTCCTCCTCCTCCTCCTCCTCCCTCCTCCTCCTCCTCCTCCTCCTCCTTCTCCACCTCCTCCTCCTCCTTCTCTCCTCCGCCTCCTCCTCCACCCTCCTCCTCCTCCGCCACCCTCTCCTCCTCCTCCTCCTCCTCCTCCTCCCCCTCCTCCTCCTCCTCCTCCTCCTCCTCCTCCTCCACCTCCTACCCTCCTCCCTCGCCTCCTCTCCCTCCTCTTATTCCTCCTCGCTCCTCCTCTTCTTCCTCCTCCTCCTCCTCCTCCTCCATCTACCTCGCTTCCTCCGCTCCCTCCTCCTCCTCCCCCCTTCTCCTCCGCCTCCTATTTCTCCTTCTCCGCCTCCTCTTCCGCCTCCTCCCCTGGCCTCGTCCTCGTTCCTATCCTCCTCCTCCCATGGCCTCGTCCTCGTCCATTGGCCTCGTCCTCGTCCCTATCCTCCCTCGGCCTCGTCCTCGTCCCTTGGCTTCGTCCTCGTTCCCTTGGCGTCCTCCCTTGGCCGCTCCTCCTCCTCCTCCCTATCCTCCTCCCTATCCTCCTCCTCCCTATCCTCCTCCTCCTCCTCCTCCTGACGCCTCCTCCCATCGCTTCCCTGAGCAGGCTCATCCTCTTCGTCCTCATGATCCTCCTCTATGTTATCCTCCTTCCTCCTCCTCCTCCTCCTCCTCCTCCTCCTTTTCCTCCTCATCCTCCTCCTCTTGTTTTCCCTCCTCGTCCTCCTCGTCCCCCTCCTCCCTTCCTCCCCCTCCTCCTCTACCTCCCTCCTCCTTCCTTGGCCTCATCCCTCGTTCCTCCTCCCCTCCTCCTCCTCCTCCTCCTCCTCCTCCTCCTCCTCCTCCTCCTGCTCCTCATCCCCCCTCCTCCTCCTCCTCCTCCTCCTCCTCCTCCTCCTCTCCTCCTTCCTCCTCCTCCTCCTCCTCCTCCCCCCCCTCTTCCCCCTCCTCCTCTCCCTCCTCCTTCTCCTCCACCTACTCCTCCTCCTTCCTCCTCCTTCTCCTCCTCCTCCTCCTCCTCCTCCTCCTACTCCTCCTCTTCGGGCTCGCTTGGGAGCCTATTGGGGCCTTTTTGGCCGTCTGGGGGCCGCTTGGCATGTTTTGGGCCTGTTTGGGGCGCCTCTGGGGCCGTCCTGGGACGATCCTTGAGGCTTCTTTGGCCCGTCTGGGGGCCCTCTTGGATCGTTTTGGGCCCCTTCTGGGCGCCTATGGGGCCGCCTTGGGACGATCTTTGGGGCCTCTTGGGCCATCTGGGGCCCTTTTGGGAAGGAAAAGGGGAGAACCCGAAAAACACGCGAAAACCCAAAGGGAAATCAATGTTGTTGGCAGGCCCCTCTTGGGGGCCCTCTTGAGAGCCTCTGGGGCCGTCTCGAGACTCTTGGACCGTCTAGCGGCCATCTGAAGCTCTCTTGGGGCCGTCTTGGGGCCCTCTTGGGCCGTCTTGGAGACCGTGGGCCGCTCCACCCGAACAAATACGAAGAGACGGGCCATGGGAGCCGCGCGGAGCCGCTTCACTCGAACAAGTACAGGGGAAACGGGCCAGTAAACCATGGTGCCTGGGCCTCGCCCCTCCCCTGGACTTGGACCCCTCCCTAGAGGGCTTCGCCCCAGCCCAGCGTCATCACCCGTGCCTCGCTCTCTCCGCCATTCCTGCGGGCAGGCAGGCTGTGTTTTTGGCGCCCGCGCGCCCGTGGGCGCCATCAGGCCCTCGACACGAAGTGGTCGATCATGCCAGTGCTCTCGGCCGGATCCCAGGGTGAGCAGTCTGGTGCAGCGCAGGCTTCGGGTATAGCCAGGACCCCGGCTAAGGGGAGCCGCTTAGGGAATGGTCCCCGAAGTCCAACATACGGATTGGAATCACTAAACCAGGTCTGCCGTAGCTGGTGTTGTTCGGGTGCGATTCCGGTCAGTGGATGGGGACGGGGGGGGCGCCCCCCGGTACGCATCACTAAACCAGGACCCGCTAATCTGCACGCACGAAATGGGTACTGAAAGAATGGGTACAATCCCCAACAGCGGATCTTGTTCGTTTTGAACAGGGCTCGCTGTCCACGCCGCCGCGGCCTGTGTCCATTCGAGACAGGAGGCCGCCTGCCCAACAGCGGCCGCTGTTGGTTTGGGACAACATTTGCTGTTGGGCATTGTACCCATTCTTTCGGTACCCATTTCGGGCGTCCAAAGCTAAACCCAGTTCTGCCAACGCCCGAAGGCTGCCAGTAGACCAGACAGCGGGGTCCGAAGCTTGTTCGGACGCTCGCGCCCTCACGGGGCCCGCCTCGCCCCTCGTGCCGCCCTCGGGAAGGATCGGTCCCTCGCCCCACTCTGCGCGGCAGCCCCCCGCAAGGGGTGGGGGAAGGGGGCGCCAGGGGGGCGACCCTGCGACACGGCGGGAGACTTCCGAGGAGGCAGTTGGCCTCATCGGATGGTGCCAGGCGGCTTCCGGGAAGCCTCACCTGGAAGCCGGCAGGGCTTCTAAGAAGCAGGCCGCCCTTGACGAACGAACAGCGCGCACACCCATATCCACGGGAGGAGCGGCGGGAGCGATGGGTGCGTGTTGTCGGATGGGGGTCCCCGCTCGAACGGGAGCCTCCCCAAGGGTCTTACGACCCGCACCCATACCCACAGCCAGCCCTCCCTACTCCGACCTCCCTATGGGTACGGGTGCGTGGGTGCGTGGGTGCGTGCGTGCGTGCGTGCGTGCGTGCGTGCGTGCGTGCGTGCGTGCGTGCGTGCGTGTGCGCGCGCGTGTGTGTGTGTGTGTGTGTGTGTGTGTGTGTGTGTTGCTCACTCGTCTGCCCTCGAAGAGACCCCCCCCCCGGCCGCCTCGAAGGCCGCCTCCCCACTCGCGCCCCCCCGTGCGCGCCGCCGGTCTGGAGGAGGATCGCCTCCAGCTCTGGCCCGCTCCCCGCAGCGCTGCTCGCACGGCGCTGGCTGGGGGATGTGACACCACGAGCGATTCGCCCGCTCAGCGGCCTGCTCGGGAGAGCGATGGGAGGAGGAGGAGGAGGAGGAGGAGGAGGAGGATGAGGAGGAGGACGGCGAAGGAGGAGGAGGAGGAGGAGGAGGAGGAGGAGGAGGGAAAGGAGGAGAGAGGAGGAGGAGGAGGAGAGGAGGAGGAGGGAGGAGGGAGGAGGAGGAGAGATGACGATAGGAGCAGGAGGAGAGGAGGCGGAGGAGGAGGCGGAGGAGGAGGAGGAGGAGGAGGAGGGGGAGGAGGGGAGGAGGAGGAGGAGGAGGAGTCAGGAGGAGGAGGAGGCGGAGGAGGAGGAGGAGGAGGAGGAGGAGGAGAAGGCAGAGGAGGAGGACGAGGAGGAGAAGGGAAGGAGGAGGAGTGCGGAGGGCGGAGGAGCAGGATGGCGGAGAAGCAGACACTGGGCGCCGAGGGAGCAGCCGAAGGCGGAGGGCCCACGGCTCCTGGCCGCGCGCGTGGGGCACAGCAGAGGCATCCCATGCCGCCACTCTCCGGACCCTGGCGCTCTCCAGGTGCGCGTTCCGACCAGGATTTTTGGGGGAGCTTCCTGGGGCCCATCCAACCGATCTGGTGGACTCCAGTTCGACCACAATTCGACTCAAGTTCGACTCGGTTTCGACACAGGTTCGAGTCAAGGTCGACTCGAATCGACGGACGTTCGACGCAGCTTCGATGCACGAGTGGAGCGATTGGCTCCTTTCTCCAGGCCCCTTAGATGGGGTCCGAACGGATGGGGTTGGAGGATCGCGCCGCATCGCAGATGCATCGGCGATGCGGCTCGATGTGGAGCCCGATTTGCTTCACGTCGACGTCGCCTGTGCATCGCGCACGTCGAGGATACATCGCTGGTGCACCGCCGCTGTACCGGCGATGCGGCGCGAACCTCCGACCCCATCTACTCAGACCCCAGCTAGGAGGCCTCTAATGCCCTGGGTCGCCCGAGGGGGCGCGACGATGACCGTGCTTGAGCGCATCGCGGCTCGGGCTGGAGACTCGGATAGCCGCCCCTTCTCTGGGGCTCGCAGGCGCGAGGCGTCGCTGCTGCTCACGCATCTCGCGGGGCGCGATGATTGCGCGACGTCTGGCGACCGAGGACTCTCCCGGCGCATCCCGCCGAGCTCCCCCCCAATAAAGAAATACCAGCTCTCTCCTTCCTCCTCCTCCTCCTCCTCCTCCCTCCTCCCTCCTCCTCCTCCTCCTCCTCCTCCTCCTCCTCCTCCTCCTCCTCCTCCTCCTCCTCCTCCTCCTCCTCCTCTCGTCCTCCTCCTCCTCCTCCTCCTCCTCCTCCTCCTCCTCCTCCTCGAGAGGGCGCGGGGCAGGGCGCCGGCGACGTCCGCTCCTCGCTGCAGCTGGACGTGCCCCAGGCCAAGGCCGAGACGGACTCGGCGCAGGAGGCGCGCCCCCGGCCTGCGCACTGCGGCGGCGGAGGGCGACGGCGCGGTAGCCGGCGGCGGCGGCGGCGGCGCAGTCGCCGCCGTGGTCGCCGCGGCCGCCGACGGTAGCGTTATGTCGGGCGTGTCCCCCTACAGGGGGATGTTCGAGGAAAAATAAAAATAGTTGAAACATAATTCAAGACATAGTCAACAGATAGTCTGGGGACTAGTTTTTAATTTTTTAATACCGTTTTTGAGCATGTTTTATTTTTCGTCGAAAATCCCCCTGTACACGCCCGACAGAACGGTAGCGAGGGCGACGGCGGCGACCGACGGAGGGTCGTGGAGAATTCTGACGGACGCCCCATGACGAGGGACCTCTGTCCTGCCGCCAGGCACCCGGGCGCGAGCGAGGACAGACTGCAGTCGTCGGCAACGCGCAGAGGGGGGTAGGGGGAGGGGGGAAGGCTTCTTAGAAGCACTCCTGCTTCTTAGAAGGCGCGGGCCTTCTCTATAGACGTAAGGCCGAGGCCTTCTAAGAAGCAGGGTGCTTCTAAGAAGCCTTCCCCCCCTCCCCCTACCCCCCTCTGCGCATTGCCGAAGTCGCGCACCTGAGACCCGCGCTGCGACTCCTCGCTCCCTCCTCTGCTGCTCCTCCGAGTCACGTGTCCTCCCTGTGCGTCGGGGAACGGGGGAGACGGGGGAGGAGGGCTCGTGGCCGAGAGACACGTCCGCAGTCACCTCCTCGCGGGCCGGGCCGTTGGGGCCGCGACCGCGCGGATGCGGGGCGCTCTGTTGGCGGAGCGCATCCGTGCGACCGCGCACCCGCGAGATCGCGCCCCCGGATGCAGACGGCGAGAGCGCAGGCGCGTTCGCCGCTCGTGCAAGGGCAGCGCGGAGGAGGATGGGGGCAGCAGCGGAGCGGCGAGGGCGAGGGGGGGAGAGGCCCTGGACCCGTGCCAGGGTGCCATGGGGGTGGCCCTCCAGGCTCATCGACTTCTCTGGACTGCATGGGGCCTCGACGCTCGTACCTGACACGTCGCGTGTCCCGCCAGCTCATCCAGAAGCGATGCCGGGGCGTCTTGGCCCGATCAGGGAAGTGCAGGAGCATGCAGCGGAACACAGGGGAGGGCTGTCGCTATCTCTCGAACGTCGAGGAGGAACGTGGATGAAGCGAAGGCGGAGGGAGGAGGAGGAGGAGGAGGAGGAGGAGGAGGAGGCGGAGGATTCAGACAGCGACGATGACGACGACGACGACAACCACGACCACGACCACGACCACGACCATGACGACGACGAAGACGACGAGGTGGAAGACTCGTTGAAGCGTCTTGGAGCCATCTAGGGGCCTTCTTTGAGTGATTTTAGTAGCTTCTGGAGCCCCCTGAATGTGTTCTTGGGGCTCTCTTTGGAGCCTTTTGGGGCCTCTTGAGGCCATATTGGAGGACATCGATCAAAGCAGAGGGCGGCGCCGAATCGTGCTTCCCCTCCTGGGCCAGACAAGTCGCACCTTGCGGCCCTTTTTGTGGTGCTCTCGGGGACGTCTGGGAGCCCTCTTTTGCCTGTCTTGGCTCCGCGGGGGCCATCGCTCGAATAATCGAACAACAGACCTACGCACGATCGTTCTCAGAGCGCGCGCTCTGCCTCTCGCGCTCTGAGAGGAGGAGGAGGAGGAGGAGGAGGAGGAGGAGGAGGAGGAGGAGGAGGAGGATCAACAATAATCAACAACTGTTTGCTTTCCGCGCGGATCTTCGGATCTGCGCTGTGACCCCTGGCGGCGCCTCCGGCCCCGCCCCCTGGCGAGCTCTGCGCGCCAGGGAGGGGGGATCCGGCTCAGATCCAAGAGATCCGCGCGGACCGTCCGCAGGCTGTGTGGATGCCGCTTCGTGTTCCCCTAATCTAATGGTGTTCCAACCGACTTTCGCCTTGACCACCAGCGAGAATCTCGAGCACCAAAAAGTACTCGGGGGTGGACAAAACCCCCAACAGTGACACGTCGATTAGTGAATTGTCTGTTTTCGGTTTTCGAGAGGCCGCCGTGGCCGTTATTTTCCAGGCTTGCGCCCGCCAGGTTTGGGCCTCAGGTCGTTTTCACCCAAACCACGTTTTACTAAAGGGAGGTCTGTCCATCCCCGAAGTACCGAAACTCGAGGATTTTCACGTGTCGGACCCTGGGAGACACTCGTCCGACACCGTTTCGACACTGTTTCGATGCTCTTGCGACGCTTTTCCAGGTGCTCGAAATTCTTTCTGGGATGCGGTCCTTGAGTACGATGGGAGCAACATGCTTCTAATCTTGGAGTCATACTGGGGCCTCAGATGCTCATCGAAGCCAAAGGCGAGACGGCCAGCATCGCTGTTTCCCCGCAGCTTCTTTCAGGATGTGAACCTCTCTGGGACGTCCTTGGGAGGCGCCGTGGCCACTTGGCGTTGTCTTGGAGCCGTGTTAGATCAACTTAGAGGCATCTCGGAAACTGTCTTGTGCAGTCTTGCGCCGTCTTGGAGCCATCTTGGGCCATTTACGGTCTCTAGCCCGTGGTGACTTCCCTCCGTCCAGACCCAGCGTGAAGGGGTCAGGGGAAGGGGTAACCTTACTGGGCCCCGGAAACGGCAGGGACGTACATAATGTTTGAACAAGTGTGTCTTGGGACATGGAAGCGGTACGGAACCATCGCGACCAGGAGCGACGGCTCCAGGATTAGAACCAGAACCAGAACCGAAACAAGCGGCGACGGATTTGGCGAACACGCGGCAGAAACGACGGCAGAACGGATCCGAACAAGGACGGCCATGTTGTTTGCAGGGTCCTTTAAGGGGGTAGCCCCTCCACGAAGGGGTAGAGGGGGGTTGGGAGAGGAAGCGCCTTACGCCCACTCAGGCTTACTTTTTGGGGGGGTCGCGGCCGCGAGACAAGGGTCAGGCGGCAAAAGCAAAGTCCGGGGCGCCGACGAGGCTAATTAGTTACAACAGGCACAGGCCGGCCGGCCCACTCACTAAGCAGCCGCGAACGCCGACTCAGGCTTACGGGGTCAGTGGGATTCCCAGGTCCCGGTTCTGTCCGGTTGCCTTCGGCGAACCCCGCCATCGCGCCCGCGCAGCAGCGCCGCAGCGCAGCAGCGCAGCAGCGCAGCAGCGCAGCAGCGCAGCGCGAAGGAGGTTGAGTCAAAGACGCGTTGGCGCTTTGGGGATCTATTGAGGGCCTCCCTGGAGCCTTTGATGTCCGTTTTGGAAGCCGCTGGTGGTCTGCAGGGATACTTCTGGGAGGCCTCTTTGGGATCTCTGGGGCCTCTTGGGGGGCGTCTTCGGGGCCTCGTCGGCCTCCTGGCGGTCTCGGCGGCGGATATGGATGTACTGTGTCCCTGGAGCCGCCTGGTGGTCGTGGACAAACCTCCGCCACGCCGATCTTACAAGCTTTCCTCCCCCCCCTCCCCAGACCCCCCCCTCGAAAGCACCCCGGCAGGCGCCGTGATTTCCCACGACCTGTACTGCCGAAGGTACCCCTTCCCGGGAACTGGCTTCTCGTCCCGGCTTGTGTCTGACGGCTCCGGGACCTGGCGCGGAGTCTTGGAGCAGAGAGAGCCTGATATTCTCAAGTCGGGCGTGTCCCTCTACAGGAGGAATATTCAAAAATAGTACAAACATGGTATGGGGACGACCTTTTGAATTTTTTTTGTTGACCATGTTGGGGCAGTTGTGGACCATTTTGCATTCTTCGCCCAAAATCCCCCTGTAGGGGCACATGCCCGACCTAAGCCTGCTGTTCTCCAGACCCCCTCGCGATGTGAAGCAGTCGCGACGGGAGGTGTTTTCTAACTCGTTTCGAGCCTCGGCGGGCGGGGCGCCCCTGCTGGGCCTCGCGGGGGCGCTCAAAGGACGGCTCGGGGTCGAGACCAATGTCGGAGGTCGATAGACCTCCTAACCTCATGCCCGTGAGAATAAACACTAGGGGATAATAAAGTTCGGGGTTCAGGGAGAGATAATAAAAGTAGCCCAGCAGACCTCAGCATAATCTCGAAGTAAGAGATGATCAAGAGGAGACCAAGCCGAGCACGTTTTGAGACATCCTTGGCGTTTAGTTTTCATAGAAATATCCTCAACAATGGCTTATCTCTCATGAAAATTGTTTTTTGTAAGTGCTCGTGTAGGGTAGCTCATGTGCCTCAATTTCCATGGATAATCAACCCCAGAGATACAAAAGTTCAGGCGAGCGTGGGGACAGAGAGAAATTTTAAAGAAGAAGAATACAGTAGAATAATACTAAGAAAGAAGAAGAAGAGGAGAATAATAAGAGGACGAATAAAGGAAAAATTCAAAGTTCCAAATCTATCAATTTTAATTTACAAACGCTTTATGAACATTGATTTTTTTGAGTGCTCGTGTAGGGTAGCTCATGTGCTTCATTTTCCATGGATAATCAACCCCAGGGATAAAAAAGTTCAGGCGAGCGTGAGGACAGATAGAAATATAAAAGAAGAAGAGGAAAGTATAATAATAATAAGAACATTGCTCGTTTCGTTTGAGTCTGCCTCCCAAAATTATTGGTTTCGCTTGACACATCCTGAAAAAGTGTGATCGTATCGCTTGATGTTGCTATATCAACATCGCTTGATGTTGCTATCTCAACATAGCGTTCCGAGGTGATAATGAAGTTCGGCCTCAGCGCTCGCCGCCCAATTTGAATTTTGTATAGGGCGACGATAATCAACTCTAAACACTGAAGGGGGGGGGGGTCCCTTTATTATCATCGGCATGCGGTTACCCTCTCGCGTCGATTGGCGAATTGGCCGTCTTCGGTTCGCGGGAGGGCGTCGCCGCCGTCGTTTTTGTGGGCTCAGATCCGTCGGTGTCGGTCTCAGGCCGTTTTCACTGACGGATGGTTTATTGAAGGGATGTTCGTCCACCGCCGACTTTGGTGAATCGACGCTGTGAAAAGAGTAACGACGTCTGCGGTCTGGGTCATCAGACTCAGGCGAGTTCGGTTGCATGGCGTGTCTCAGGATGGGGAACGAAAATATCTGGATTCCTTGGATTTGTGTATATGTGTGTGTGTGTCCTTGGGCTCCTTCAATGTCTCCCCCCTCCCTTCTCGCCGCCTTTTCCAACAGCGCTGCCCCGAGAGTTGCGTGAAGTCCAGACTTTCCTTCGGGCCTCACCACGCCCCCCCTCCCGCGCAAGGAACCTGACATAACCTGAAGAACAACTGCTTCGAAGCTGTGCAAAAACTTCCGTTGCGATGTTTGCCCACACGGGAGGAGCTGCAATTCTTCCCGTCGGGGACATTTCCTCCCGTCGGGGATTGGGCTTGGAGGGTCTCTTGTTTCTCTGTCAGGGGTAACCTTTCCTAGGGAGGACAAGGTCAGTCATGAGGGGAATCCAATCGATCGGCGATGTTCTTCGCCGGGTTCAGATCGATGTTGCCCTCCCCCCCTGCCCAGACCCCCGACGTCGTGGTCTGTTCACAGCGTCGACCCCCAGAGGTCTCGACCCCTTCCCCGCGACCCGTTTTTCATCCCGAGGCGGGTGCCGACGCCTCCGAGGCCCCCGGCAAGGGCCCCGAGCGGCCGACGAAACCTTCGAGGCACCTCCCGCCGCGACGTGATTCTTCGCCGCGCGAGGGGCCCTGGCGGGCGTTGCCCCCCCGCCCCCCCTGCTTGGCTGGCCCCCGCAGGAGGCCTCGGCGTTCCAGGACATGGCCGGCAGGCAGGCCGCCAAGGTGCAGAACCTGCAGCGCAGCCTGGAGGAGCCGCGGCCGCGCCCGCCCCGACCTTCTCCTGACGCTCCCACCTGCTTGAGCCTTGAGTTTCACCATGCATCTCAGCATCGTTGAGCCGACCCCCATCCCCATCCCCATCCCCCATCCAGACGCCCACCATCCCAGCACCCAAGCTGGGGATAAGACCCCTCGGAATCCGAGGGAGGCGGCCCATTATCCCCGTCAAGGGGCGCGATTCGGCCAGAGGGGTTCAGGCCACACCGCTGGGGATAGGGATTGGATAAACGATGCTTAGCATCTCGAGCACCAAGACAATCTGTCGAATGTGGAGGGTTTTCACGTGTCGGGCCCTGGAAGGCGTCACTCGTTCGGCACGTCGCCAGCGTGTCGGCCAGACATTGTTTCGATGCTTCTCTGAGTGCTCGAGAATATTCTCTTGCACAGGGTGTCTAGAGCTCCGACCATTTTATTCCGCGTCGCACCCCCCCCCTGCCCCAGCGCTAGAGTGCGAGGCCCTCTCCCCCAAGCCCCGCCCAGTGCCCCCTCCGCCCGGACTTATGCCGCGTCGCGACGCACACCACCTCCTCCACCCTCCCCCCCCGCGTCCCCAGCGCCCCAGTGGGAGCCAAACCCAGTCACCTCGAGCCCCCCCGCGTCCCCAGCGCTCCAGCAGGAGCCCCGCCCGCAGCCCCCTCCGCCACGAACGTCTTCTTCCGGGTCGCTCGGCCCCCACCGCCCCGCCCCCACGATCGTCCTCCCCTCCCCGCCCGCCCAGAGCACCCCGCCCCCCCCTCCGCTCCGACCATTTTATTTCTGCGTCGCACCGCCCCTCCGTACCTCCCCCCGAGACTTCTCCGAGTCCTCGCCCCCTCTCTTCCCCCCCTTCCCTCCTCCTCCTTCTCCTCTTCGTTCGTCTTCCTCCTCCTCTTCCTCCTCCTCTTCCTCCTCCTCCTCTTCCTCCTACTCCTCCTCTTCTTCCCCCTTCCCCCTCCCTTCTGTGCAAGAGCCATGGCACGCGTGCCACTTGTTTCTGGCATGCGTTCCTGAGTACAGTGGACACCCATGCCAAGAAACACCCTGCTTGCCTCATGGGTGCCCTGGGTGCCTTGGGTTTCGATCGTCTTGCCAAGGAGAGCGTGACGTTTCCATACCAAAAACCAGTGGACACCCTTTGGTCTCAGGGTTGGGTTTCTCGTGGAAGGTTTCTTGTGGTCGAGCTCCTACGGTCAACCCCCACATTAAGGAGGGGCAGTATTTCCAAGGGTACCCCTGCATCCTTACCTCCTCGGTCCATCTTTGGTCGCCTTCGTTGGCCGCGCCCCGCTCGCAAAGTTTCAACATGGCCTTCCAAGGCCCTTGCGTCATTTATATCGTGCATCTCCAAGTGGAAGCGCGGCCGGCCGCGGCAGCAAGGGGGCAAAGAAGCGCGTGTGAATTGACACAGAACGTGCAGCTATCCCCCCGCGCCCTCCCCCCCCTGGCTCCTCCGAGCGTGCTGTGTGCGACAGTTCTCTGCGGCGCCTCCTGTGCGCTTTTCTCACCTTGGGGAGAAGCAGCCGGCTGCGCTCTCTCTTCTGCCTGGCGCATCCTGCCGGGCGCTTGGCTTCCTGCTGCCCTCTGCTGCGCGCCGCCTGCGCGCTGGGAACCACAGAACCCCACGCGCCACCCGCGGGGGCTGGCGGCCGCCCTGGCCTCCAGGCCTGCGAGGGCCCCGGCGCGGCGGACCGGGCGGCCGTTCCGGCGGGCCCGCGGGCAGGAGGGTTCGGGGGGGGCGGTGGGGGGCCCTGGTGATTCCTCCTCCCTCCTCCCTGCTCCCTCGTCCTCCACCACCCTCCTCCCCCTTCTCCCTGTGCCCTCTTCCTCTCGCCTCCTCCCTCACCCTCCTCTCCCTCTCCCTCCCTGCTCTTCTTCCATCATTCTCCACCACCCTCCTCTCCCTCCTCCTCCCTCCTCCCCCTCCTGCTCCCTTCTCCTCCTCTGGTGGCACTGGGAGTGGAGTAGAAGTGAGGACGGGTGCGTAGACTGGAGGCTAGGTGAGTCAGGCTCCCGCGCAATATTGTAACGCCGTCGTTTCGGACTGCCACCACCACCACATCCTCCTCATCCTTCCACCCTCCTCCTCCCCTCCTCCTCCGCCTCCACCTCCTCCTCCTCCTCCTCCTCCTCCTCCTCTCCTCCTCCTCCTCCTCCTCCCCCTCCTCCTCCTCCTCCTCCTCCTCCTCCTCCCCTCCTCCTCCGCCACCCTTCTCCTCCTCCTCCTGTTACTCCTCGCCCGCCCTTTTCCTCCTCCTCCTCCTCCTCCTCCTCCTCCTCCTCCTCCTCCTCCTCCCTCTCCTAGTCGGCGTGGGCAGGATCGAGGCTTTACCGACCCGACAGGAGGGTACGAAGCTTCCACCACGTGACTTGCACGGCCTATCCGCTTGCTGCTTCGGCCAAGGGAGGAGGCAGGGGGAGAGGAGGGCAGATACGGCCACATACACCCTCAGTCCGCCTAATGAAAATTGCCACCTACAACCCACAGAGCGCAGCAATGAGCGAACGACTAGAAGACATTAGCTGCGAACTGAAGGGATGGGACATAGTACTATTAAACGGAACACATCACTGGGCGGCAGCAGAGGGAGTATTCACCCACCGACTACCACACCATGTGGCATATCGGTTTGGAGGGAAGAAAGGCAAGCTGGTGACGAAGGTTTGTGGGATCGCCATTCTGGTAGCCCACCACATACACCCGACGTCTCTACGAAGCACGTATGTCCCCCCAGCCGAGATCCAAGGTCGAGTGGGGGGCCTCCGTATTTGGTCAAAAGAAGTGGACTTCTGCTTTTTTAGCGTTTACCTCGCCCCCATCCACTGCCAGTCCTTCTCCACGATTGCAAAAAAAGTGACGGGATGGGTAGAGAACCAGTGCGACGGGTTGGGGGCTCGATGCACAGTAGTGGTGGGGGGAGACATGAACAGTCAGCTGGAGAATGAGAATGGGCAGTATTTCAGGGAGATGTGTACAGGTTCCCATTTAGCAGTGGCTACAACGTATTACGATGTGGGCCCGACCTATTATTCCCCGAAGGGAGGCCCCAGCACAATCGACCACATTGCTATCCCAGTCTCGGCCCTTCCTTTAGTGTCTCGCTGCGTAGCGTTGCGCACGTCGGCGACGAGGCTGCAGCTGATACGAAGGAGAGGACACAGAGACCACATCCCCATCGGCATCGTCCTAAATGTATCTGGCAGAAACAGTTTTGCGTCGGTGCGGAGGGAAAGGGAGCCCCCCCTGGATCGGGACAAGCTGATGGATTGCCTCCGCAAAGGAACAGCGCGCCCCGACCTTTTTGCTGCTTTGCAAAAGGAGATGGAGGGGATACAGGAAGAGTGGGAGCAGGCGAAGCAGGAGGGGACGCCCGACAAAATGTGGGACCTGTGGAGTGGAGCAGCACGGAGCAGGCTGGACACCTGCTTCCAACAGGGGCAGAAAGACTTGGACTCGACTACGGAAGTGGTGCGAGAGCGACGGATGGCACTGTTAGCAGAAAGGAGGGCCCTAAGAGAGAGAATGGTAGATGGCGAGTCCGACGAACTACTTGTGCAGACACAACAGGAACCCTCGGAGATGACGGCCCTACTGAAGGTCTTGAGGCAAGGCGCCGAGAAGGCGAGAAGAGCTAAACATGTTGAGGGAACCTGGGAAGCCCATCAGAGAAACGACTGCAGCACCATGCACAGACTACGTATCCAGCACCAGCGAAACGGAAGAGGCCCACAAAAGCGATATTATCAGACAGCTAGAACACATTGGCCGAAAGAAGACTGGCTTCGAGAACTAGGGAAGAGACCTGAGGAAGGAGGACTAGCAGCACAAGAGATCGACCTTGACGAATACGTTAGGGAGCAACGGGAGAGGATCGAGGAGCAGTTGCCTTTGCCAGAAGATACGGAGGCCATGGCACTCATGCTGTTGGACAAGGGTTGGATGCTGAACTACTGTAAAACATGCAGCAAAACGACGGGCATGGCCTAGATGGGGGACCCCTGTGGAACTTACTTGGATGATCCTGGATCCCGCGACGCATCTTGAACACCCAGAGCTATTGAGCCGCCAGATAGAAGCCAGTAGGATTCGTGCAGCGGAAGGGAGAGAGGACGAGGAGGATCTGAGCAAGTACTCGACACCGTTTCGTTATCGGCTAGGTAGAAGAATATTGGAAGGGATGGGGTGGAACAGTGGAGAGGGACTGGGCAGTACGGGTGAGAGACTGGACGGCACAGAGTTGGACGCATGCGAAGTGACACCGTACTTTGTGGACCGGCCAGGGGGAGGGGGACTGGGCACGGCTAATTTGCGCAGGAACGACGAAGAGGGACCGTATTTGTTCCAGCGGCTTCTAGATCAGCTGTTGTTGAATGCAGGACATCGCAGGTGACCCCCCTGGCGCGGCATCGTTCTATTTCCTTCGACGCGGATGAAAACAATGGGAAACCAGGCATCGGAGGGAAACGCATCATGCATGCATACGACTCTATGAGTATGGCGTGGCATTGGGGTATACACAAAAGGGGCCCTCAACCTAGTCACCCCCCATGGGCCCAAGGAGGCCTGGCGCACAGGAGCCGCGAGAATGCGACTATTTGCTTACAGGCTGCGCAGTGGAGGGCCAGGGAAGGGGGAGTGCGCATTGTGCACACAAACTAAGATTGCAGCAACGCATTTGCCAGTGCGAAGAGGGAGCTCCTCCAGGCGACGGCTTGGAAACATGCGACCGAGGCAGACCAGCCATTCGCCTTAGGAGCATCTGCAACACACAGTTCAACATGCGATGCGCAGACGAGTGGATGCACGCAGAGACGACGGTGGGGGCCCAGATGGGATTCACTCTGTGCCCGCGCCAGTTCAACGATGTCTACAACTTGTATGTAGACAAGTGGCTGCAGGAGGAAAGAGACAAGGATATACACCAAACGTGGCACGACACACGGAATCCTGTGACGGACACCTGGCACGACTTGGCACTGAACACGTTCATGGA